GGGGGGGGTGGGACAGGGGCCTGGCACTGCCCAGTGCACCCCAGAGGTCCCAGGGCAGCGGGACCCTCCGGGCACCGCAGGGCAGGCCAGGGCTGGGCAGCTGTTAGCACGGGTTAGACCCCAAAACTGGCTCAGATTTACCCCCCACCCCCCAGTTCAGGCAGAGCCCCTCCAAGGCAAACACATGCAAACTGCCCCCGCCCCTCCCCGGGCAGGCAGCACCCCGGGGGGGGCACAGCCGGGGGCAGCAGGAGCCCCCCAAAGCCCTGCACACACCACACACATGCACCCCCCCGGGGTGGGGGGCCGGGGGGCTGTGGGCAGGCACTGGCTGGGGTGGGGGACAGCTGGCAGGGACCCCCCCACTGCCACGGCCAGCCCGGGGGGCCAAGAGCACCATGGAGAAGCAGGGGGCACCCGGGGGGGGGCAGCCAGCAGGCAGGGCTGGGGGGGAGCACAGCCCCCCACCCCACGCCCGGGGCAGGGGACGGGGACAGGTCGGGTCCCCTTTGGTCACTTGCTGTCCCTGCCAGGCAGGGGGGGCCCGAGGCACCGCGAGATGCTGGGGGGGCTGCGGCAGGGGGGCACAGGGAGACCCCCCCTCACCAAAGAGTTGGGCAGGGGGACCCCCCAGGGCAAAGCAGGGGCTCCCCGTGGCACTGCTGGCCGGGCTCGGAGGGGGGGCACAAAGGCAACCGGGGAGGGTCTCCCACCCCCCAAAACCAGCACTGCCCGCACCCCCTCACCCTAACGGATGTAAACGTCCTGCCCCCAGCCCTCGCCCTCCCCCAGGCCCAGGGGCTCCTGGCCCTTGGCTCGGCCCCGCAGCCCCCGGCCCTCCTCGGCCCCGTCCCCGGGGGGCTCCTCCTCGACGGGGTCCATCTCGATGTCCATGCAGCAGGAATCCCCGGGCTCCGAGTCCCGGCTGCCCGCAGGCTCCGAGTCGAAGGTGTCCTGGCGGCACAGGCTGCGGGGGCCGGGGCGGGCGGGGGCCGGGGGGGCTCTGCCCTGCCCGCGGCCCCCCGGGCCCGGCCGAGGGCGACCCTGCTCCCCCTCCGGGAACGGACCCTGGGGGGGAGAAGCAACCACACCATGCGGGGATGGACGGGCACGGGGTTAGTGGGGGGGTTACTGGCTGTGGGGAGGGGGGCACACGCTGCCCAGCACGGCCCGCCCGTGTCGCTCACTCGTGACACGAGGGCAGCAGGTCTCAGCCTGGGGGTTCACAGGGGCAGGGAGAGGGGGACGGGGGAGAGGGGGAGCAGTGCAGGGGTGGGGAGGGTGCAGGGTGGGGGGATGGAGCACCAGCAGCGTCCGGCTCGCTGGGAGAATTAGCGACAGACGACACAGGACACTCGTCCCTCCTCTGCCTCCTGCTCTCGGGGGGGCTGCAGGACCCCCCAACACTGCCTTAGGCCCACTGGGGGGGCTGCAGGACCCCCGGCTCAGCACCGTAATGGCCGTGGTGTGAAGGGGGGTTGAGCCCCCCCTGCCCAGCTGGACCACACCAGGACACCCCCAAAGCCTCGACCCCACCACGGCCCCCCTGCAGAGGTGTGGGAATGGGGGGCCTGGCACCCCAACAGCCCATAAGAGGCATGGAGGGGGTCTCGAAGGGGGCAGATCCTGGGGGTTCCCAATCCCCAGGGTGGGCTTCAGGCCTTGGGAGGGTCCCCAGGAGACCCCAAATGTAGGGCTGGCACCAGTCCCAGGCAGGGAGAGATCCCCAGGGCTGATCCCAGGGATGGCCCGGATCCGGGAAAGGGAGCAGGTCCCTGGGGTGACCCCGATCCCAGGGATGGCCCCAAACCCAAGGAGAAAACAGGTCCCCAGGGCGGGGAGATCCCAGGGACAATCCTACACCGGGGGGCTCCAGTACCCCAGGGGGGGCCCAGGTGCCCAAACGGAGCAATCCCAGGGACAGTCCCACTCCTGGGGGGAGGCCCAAATCCCACGGGTTTCCTCAATCCCAGGGTGGAGAGCAGGTCCCCAGGGCAGGTGACCCAGGGCTGGCCCCACACCCGGGGGGGGTGTGGCCGTGTTTCCCTGGATGTCCCCGATCCCAGGGGTACCCCGGGGGTGGGGGGGTTGTCCCCGCCGCCGCCTCCTCACAGCGCGTGCTCCTCGACTGGGGGCCTGGGGGGGCTGGGGGTGGCCTCCCGGCCCCAGAGGTTGAGGTTCCTGCGCAGGGACGTGAGCACCTGTACCTGGAGGTTGGAGACGGGCGCGGGGCTGGCGGCCAGCGCCGCCGAGGCCATGGTGCGGTTCAGCAGCGGGTTCGGGGGGTTGCTGCTGGGGGGGTGCGTGGCCTTCCAGTAGGCCTCCAGGTACTCGGCCAGGTGCTCACAGGCCTCCTCCAGCTGGTTCTCGTCCAGCACGATGTCGAACATCTCCTGCGGGAGGGACGGCGGGGCTGGGGTGGGGCGGGGAAGGGCAGCGGGACGCGGGGCAGAGCAGAGGGACAGAGGGACGGTGCGGGGCTGCTGGGGCAGGGTGGGGCTATAGGACAGGGTGAGGCTTATAGGACAGGGCAGAGCCTATAAGACAGGGCGGGGCCTATAGGACAGGGGAGGGCCTGTAGGATGGGGTGGGGCTTATAGGACAGGGCGGGGCCTATAGGACAAGGAAGGTGCTATAGAACAAGGTGGGGCCTATAGGACAGGGTGGGGCCTATAGGATGGGGGGGCCTATAGGATGGGGGAGCCTATAGGACAAGTTGGAGCCTATAGGACAAGGTGGAGCCTACAGGACAAGGCAGACCCTATAGGACAGGGAAGGGCCTATAGGACAAGGTGGAGCCTATAGGACAAGGCAGGCCCTATAGGACAGGGAAGGGCCTATAGGACAGGGCGGAGCCTATAGGACATGGTGGAACCTATAGGACAGGGAAGGGCCTATAGGACAAGGTGGGGCTTATAGGACAGGGTGGAGCCTATAGGACAAGGCAGGCCCTATAGGACAGGGTGGGGCCTATAGGACAGGGTGGGGCCTATAGGACAGGGGGGCCTATAGGATGGGGGGGCCTATAGGACAAGGTGGGGCTTATAGGACAGGGTGGAGCCTATAGGACAAGGTAGGCCCTATAGGACAGGGTGGGGCCTGTAGGACAGGGTGGGGCCTATAGGACAGGGCGGAGCTAATGGAAAAGGGTGGAGCCAGTGGAAAAGGGCAGGGCTATTGGAAAGGGGTGGGGCTTCTGGACCAAGGGTGGAGCCCTATGGATGAGGTAAAGCCCATGGGAAAGGGCGGAGCCCGTGGGACAAGGTGGGAGCAGTGGGAGAGGGCGGGGCACCTGGGCTCAGGGCGGAGCCTATGGGACAGGGCGGGGTCAGTGGGAGAGGGCGGGACCAACTGGTGACAGAGGTTGGGACAGGTGGGTGGGGTCAAGGTGGGCGTGGCCGCGGTGGGCGTGGCACACTCACAGGCGGGCACTGCGCCAGCTTGTCCGAGGCCACCATCTGCACGTTGAGATGCTTCGCCTGGGACTTGCCCCGGGACTTCACCAGGCGCTGCAGCACCTGGGGCACGAGGGGACAGCCCGGGGTGGCCTCAGGGACACGGCCGGACCCTGCCCGGCCCCCCCAGCAGGGCAGGGAGGGGGCTGGCGCTGCCCCCCGCCCGCCCCAGCACCCCCAGACCCACCTTGGGGGAGGTGATTTTGATGTAGACGATGATGGGGGCCAGGGAGGTCTTGGCCAGCTGGGCCGGGTGGTTGATGGTGTCGGCGTCCAGGGCCACCAACTGCAGCGTCCGGGCCAGCTCGAAGATCCGCTCGGTCTCGCTCTGCACCTCGGCTGGGGGGGGCACGGACAGAGGGGTCAGGGGACACGGGGGGACAACGGCTGGGAGAGACGGGATGGGGGGCACGAGGGGTCTGCACCGGGACTTGGCCACTCCAGTGTCACCCCAGCCACAGGAGGGAGGGTGGACTGGGCTCCGGGTGGGTGAGGAAGGGGCAAAACCCCCCCTGAACCTCACACACACATGGAGGGGGGGATCAGCCAGGGCTGTGCCACCGGGGTGTCCCCAACCCCGCTCTGCCCAGGTGGCCGGACCCTGCAGTGTCCGAGTGGCAGGATGGGGATCCAAGGGGACACGTCCCCAGTGCCCCCCTGCCAGGGGTCCCGCGTTACATACCCAAGACATCTGTATCAGGAGCAGGGGAGGAAGGAAGCGGCACGGAGGGGAGGAACCCCAAAAGGAAAAGGAGAAACAGGAAAGAAAAAAAAAAACACAACAGAGAAGATAAAAGAGGAGGAGGGGGAGGAGGAGGAGGAGGAGGGACTGAGTCACGCGGGGGGAGCGCGGGGTTGATCACCCCACACCCCCACACCCCGCGAGCACCCCGGGGTGGGCTGGGGGCTGATACAGATGGAGGCTTGGGGGGGGTCCCGCTGCCCCGGGGGGCTCAGGGGGTGCCGTACCCAGGCTGGAGCGGGTGCTGGAGCGCTCGATGATGGTGTGTTTGCTGGGGTTGTTGAGCACGGAGCGCTTGGCCAGGGAGATGTCGGCCGTGACCCGCGTGATGGAGATCCTGGAGGCACGGGGAGGGGTGAGACCCCCCCCATACACACCCCCAACCCCTGGGGGGGCAAGGGGGACCCTCCTGCCACCCCCTTCCAGCCACCCCATGCTCAGGGCTGCTGGAGCTGCAGGAATCCCCATTAGGGTCCCCCTGGGACTTTAGGGGGCCCCACCCGTGGGATTAGGGGTCCTCCCACAGGGTTAGGGGTCCTCCACAGGTTTAGGGGTCCTCCCACAGGGTTAGGGGTCCTCCACAGGTTTAGGGGTCCCCCTACAGGGTTAGGGGTCCTCCACAGGATTAGGGGTCCCCCTACAGGGTTAGGGGTCCTCCACAGATTTAGGGGTCCCCCTACAGTGTTTAGCGATTCCCCTGTGGGTTTATTAGGGGTTCCCCCATGGTTTTAGGGGTACCATCCATGGAATTAGGGCTCCCCCCAATGGGATTAAGGGACTTTCATGGATTTAGGGGTCTCTCTACAAGGTTAAGCATCCCACCTTGGGTTTACGGCTCCCCACATGGGATTAGGGGTCCCATCCTGGATTTAGGGGTCTCCCCCTGAGATTAGGACTCTCCTCATGTGATTAAGGCTCTCCTCATGGGTTTTGGGGTTACAGGTCCTCCCATGGGTTTTCAGGTCCCTCTATGGGTTAGGGGTCTTTTTGTGGATTTAGGGGTCCCTCTATGGGGTTACAGGTCCTCCCATGGGTTTTGGGGTCCCTCTATGGGTTAGGGGTCCTCTTGTGGATTTAGGGGTCCCTCTATGGGGTTAGGGCTCCCCCAGCCCCCCCATCTCACCTGCCATCAAAGCGATGCTTCAGGAAGTCGAACAGGGCTTTCTGCATCATGTCAGTGACCTTGGAAGGGGGGGAAAGGCAGGGAGGGAGGGACACCGTGGGGCCGGGATCCCCCTCCCCGTGCCCCCCGGGGTGCCCCCCCTGTGCTCACTCACCTCGTAGCCCTTCAGCGAGGGCCCCACGAGGATGATGGGGCGCATGGAGGGCACCACGTCGTAGGGGGGCACGTGCTCGGCCTGGGGACAGAGCGGGGGGTCAGCGGGGCCGGGGGGGGGACGTGGGGGGCACGCTCAGCTTCACCCCTGCAGGGGCAGCTCCAGGAGGGTTCGAGGGGGGCTGCAAGCGGGGGGCACCCCACCCTAACCCCACCCCCCCCATCCCCTCCCGGGGGTCCTGACGCTACTCACCGACTTCTGCTTCTGCTTCGCTACGTCCCGAGGGGCCGCGGGGGCCGGGGGGGCGAGAGGAGACAAACAAGGCATGCGTGTTACCCGCGGGCACGGGGGGCACCGGGGGCGGGGGGGGCGCGGGGACACGCGTGTCACCCAGGGGACACGTGTGTGACACCCTGGGGGTGCCCGAAGGACACGTGTGTGAGCCCCCAGGGGGTGACCCAGGGACACGTGTGTGACCCAGGGGACACATGTGTGACCCCAGGGGGTGACCCAGAGGACACATGTGTGACCCAGGGGACACATGTGTGACCCGAGGGGGTGACCCAGGGACACGTGTGTGACCCAGGGGACACATGTGTGACCCCAGGGGGTGACCCAGGGGACACATGTGTGACCTGGGGACATGTGTGTGACTCAGGGGGTGCCCAAAGGACACGTGTGTGAGCCCCTAGGGGTGACCGAAAGACATGTGTGCCACCCAGGGGACACGTGTGTGACTCCAGGGGGTGTCCCAGGGACACATGTGTGACCCAGAGGACACATGTGTGACCCAGGGGACATGTGTGTGACCCTAGAGGGTGTCCCAGGGACACATGTGTGACCCAGAGGACACATGTGTGACCCCAGAGGGTGTCCCAGGGACACATGTGTGACTCCAGGGGGTGTCCCAGGGACACATGTGTGACCCAGAGGACACATGTGTGACCCAGGGGACATGTGTGTGACCCTAGAGGGTGTCCCAGGGACACATGTGTGACCCAGAGGACACATGTGTGACCCCAGAGGGTGTCCCAGGGACACATGTGTGACCCAGAGGACACATGTGTGACCCCAGAGGGTGTCCCAGGGACACATGTGTGACTCCAGGGGGTGTCCCAGGGAACACACGTGTGTTACACATGAAGCATCTCCCGCTCAGGGTCAGATTTGGGGTTCCAGCAGGGGCTCTGCAGGGTGGGGGGGGTGGCCAGGACCCCTCCAGATATCCCTGCAGACTCCCCCTGCCCCGGGTTGTGGTTGAGCCCGAACCCCCCCAGTTTGTGCCCAGTTTAGGGGGGAGGAACGGTCCATTCCCAGTTGCAGGGGGGGATGAGACAGCGGCCGTGCTGGCACACACCATGCACACACTGGGGAGGTCTGGGGGGGCCACGGGCTGATCCATCCCATGGGTCACAGGGGGGTCACAGCCATGGGCTGATCCATCCCATGGCCCACAGGGTGGCCATGGATGGATTCAACCCACGGACTGTGGGGGGGTCACAGCCACGGGCTGATCCATCCCATGGGTCACAGGGGGGTCACAGCCATGGGCTGATCCATCCCATGGCCCACAGGGGGGTCACAGCCCCACACTGACCCCCCCCAGCCCTTGTGCAGGGGGTCATGCCCATGCTGCAGTGCTGGGGGTGCTGGGGCAGTGGGTGCCCCCCAGACCCATGAGGTGCCCCCCAGCCCCATGGGGTGCCCCCAGCCCCCCGGCAGGGTTAGGGCAGGCAGCGGGTGCAGCAGGCGAGGCGGGGGCCGGCGGGGGGGGGCCCTTTTACCTTCCTAAAGAAGGGGATGCGCTTGTTGTGGGCGGGGGGGGTGGTGACACTGCTCACGCTACTCTTAGGGGAGCGCTGGGTCTCCAAGGCCTCCTCCTCCTCTAACTCATCGGGGTCAAAGGTAAAGCTGGGCATGTCCAGGGCACCTGGGGACGGCCCGAGCCGGGGCCAGGACACGGCAGGGAGAGAAGAAGAGCGATGATGGCGATGGAAGAAGGGGAACGATGGAGATGGGGGGTGCTGGGAGGGGCAGGAGGGTGGTGGGAGAAGCAGAGGAGAGGGGTCTCTGGGGAAGGGGGTGTGCCCTGCCTGCACCCGGGGCGGAGGGGTGGGCTGTGGGTGAAGGGGAGGTGGGGGAAGGACCCCCCTGGGCTGAGGGGGGACACTCTTACCGCTGGCCGGGGGCGTGGGCCGGCGGGTCCCTGTCACCACGTCACCCAGGCTGGAGGTGGAGTTGTCCCCGGATTTGCTGGGAGGGAGAAGCACAGAGAGAAAGAGAGTGGGATGGGGGTGAGGGTGGGATGGAGGGGGGTTGTGGAGGGATTGGGGGGGTCGGGCTGAGCCCCACCTCGAGCTCAGGCGGTTCTGCCTCATCTTCTGCTCCTGCAGCAGCCTCATGTTCTCTAGCTTGACGGGGCTGGGGATGAAGCCCACCTCGCAGCCCTCCTTCACCAGCCGCCCGATCCACCAGTCGTTGTTGTACTTCTGCGCCGGGGACGGGGCAGGAGGGGGGAAAAAACACCTTAAAACCACCCCCCAACACCCACCCCGGGGCTGCCACCGGCCCCCCCAGCCCGCTGCCCACCTCCTTGATGTGCAGGAAGTCCTTGGGCTCGAAGCAGATGGCCATGCCCTGCACGGGCACGTCGTCGGTGGCCGAGGGGTTGTAGCCGACGTTGGTGCGGACGGCAAACGCCACTGGCTTCGTCTGCCCAAGGAGGAGAGGGGTCAGGGTGCCCCCCTGCCCGCCCCAAACCCCCAAGATCTCACCACGCTGCCCCCCCCACAGGCCAGGCAGGTGATGGTGACAGCACCGGTGCCACCAGAGGGGACACAGGGCTGGCTCAGCTCCGGTGGGCTCCGGAGACCGGGCTGGGGACACTGTGGCCACAACCCCCCCACACCCCAGGGACAACGAGGGGCTCATTAGCTAATTGCTGAGAGGCAACTGGTGTGAGAACCCGGGTTGCCCCAGGCTCCCAGTTCTGCCCAGCAGACCCCACTGCCCTCCCAGTGCCACTCTCCAGGGGGATGGGATGCTGTAGGAATATGGGGGGTGTCCCTGTGCCTGGCAGGCCCATCCTGCTGGGGGTCCAGGGGGCTGGGAGGGTGGCAGGGGGGGCTCCTCTGCAGCTGTCCCACCTTGGCTTTCTCCAGCTGGGCCATGGCCTGGCGCTCGGCCTCCTTCCGCAGCGCTTCCCGGTCCTCCTCCAGCGACACATCCGAGTCCGAGGGGCGGCTGGTGTAGGACTCTGCCGAGCCCTGGGAGAGCAGGGAGAGGGGGCTCAGACCACTTTGGCCTCCCCCAGAGCAGGGAGCCCACCCCCGAGCCCGGCCCTGCAGCCCTGTGACCCCCCCACACCCTCCCGTGCCCACCCCCGTGGGGGGGAAGCCCCCACCCCTTGCCCGGGGCCACCCCACCCGCGGGGTCAGGGAAGGCCGAGGGACAGGGCAGCTGTTCCCACTGCTCTGACAGGGAACGTGACACCGACCTGCTCCCGCTGGATCCCGGGGCCTCTCCGAGAGCTGGGAAGGCAACGGAGACCCCCCTGACCCCCCGGTTGCCCCCCAGCCCAGGACAGGCCAGTGGGGACAGTGTTGCCCCCCCCAAGAGGGTCCCGTGGCAATGGCGGCAGGGCGCCATGGGGACACTCGGGGTCACCCCAGGACAAGGCCGGAGCTGGGGTGGGATTGGGGACCCCCTGCTCACACCCCGGGCCTGGAGCCTGGGGGAGGACACC